CCCTGGCACTTGCTGTACCGTTCTCGCACTGGTTTGAGTTTAACCGAGCTGAACGTGACACTGACATTCGTCTTCGTCGAAGCTTCCGCAGACGACAAACAGCCGGTGATGACAGATACGCGTATTTTTTTTTTTTTTTTAACGGATCATACCACGTGCGTTTCATTGATCTTCGACAAATAGATTAATATTTTCTAAATCTTTCTCTGAATCGATGAATATCAATGATGACCTGCAATCCTAAGTATGAGTAATTAGAAAATCAAATTCAATTAAAGGAGAAGTTTAATTGTTATATAATAGCGACATCTCTATACACGTCAGTTCCAATAGAATATACATGTATTGAATTTATACACTAAAGTAAAATTAGCTATAAAGATTCCATGTTTCATTGCTTTTTAATTGAATTTCATTGTGAATTCACTGACTACCGGGGACATAATTGGAACTGATAATCGGCATTTACTCACTGATACATATTTAGAAAATACGTATAATGAGGCAAATAATTTTACAGTCTACTCATCGACAAGCATGTAAAGAGAAATCAATACACTAAAGAGAATGGGAAAAGAGATTACGCAACTTTATTTTTGGACAATAGTACAGTATAACAATAGTTTATTTTTAAATAAGATTGAGATAACGACGCTTATCCCTCAGAGCTATTATTTGCTTGAAAATCGGAATGCATACACCACCATATATGTATGTACTTTCCTGTTATCTCAAATAATGGACTTTTTCAAGAATTTGAAGGATTCTGTAACGATGGATCGGTAATGATGACACGGCCATTAACAAATTGTCCATTTAATCGTTACCGCAAACATTTCTCCGATTAATAGTTACATTATCATCATTAAGGGCGAACGCTTCGTACTTTTGGCAAACAGTCCGAACGAAGTCAACGAGGCATCGCGGCGACGATGAGACGCCAGGGCGAGGAGAGAGCAGGAGCGCCGTTTATCGATATTATCGTGCGGCCAGCGGCAGCGCACCGTCGTCGCTCGTCGCCGCGAAGGAACGATAGCGAGCGACCGTTAACTCAGGCCGCGACGCGACGCGACGGCACACATGTCGCGCAAATAGCCCGGCGTAGTCGTGTGCGTGTGCACGCCGCACATGCACACGCAAGGCTACACGCATACAGCGCTCACGCGCCGCGGGTCTTGCACGTACACACACGTGAGTTCGCGACGCGTTTTCGCGCTCATGCTCGCGTGTATGCATCCTTCCGCGAAAGGCAGGCGGACCGGACGACGACGACGACGATGACGATGATGAGTGAGATCCGACATCGTTCCGCTCCTTCGCTCGCTCCGAGGGAAGCAGGTGAAAATTAATTGTACGGGTTTTACCCGACTCGCGTTCTACGGGAGAGTCGTGGAACCCAGTCTACCCGCGTCTACCCGCGCCGACGGCGGCAAAGTATGTGTATTTGTGCGTGTGCGTGTGTGTGTGTGTGTGTGTGTGTGTGTGTGTGTGTGCGTGTGTGTGTGTGCGTGCGCGCCTTCGTCGTCCTATAACACCAGGACGCCATCGATCGATTTTCCTCTCGGCGTCGTCGTCGCCTTGTTGCCCATCGCCCCCATCACACTCCCCCTTCCGCCCATCGACTCCCTCTGCCGCGAACGCTTCCTCGTGCCTCTCGCGACGTAATGTTGGCGCGCGAGACTCGATTCGTTAATCGTAGATCGAAGCCACGTTGCGCCGCGCCGACGGCCGACGGCCGACGCGCCTTATCCGCGAAATCATATTTTTGCTGCCGTCGCGCTCTTAGCAACGCCATGAACGCCGCGTGTATTTCACACCCGGGACTGGGGTCAGCTGCTCTTCGTGATATACGGAGCGGACCGCGTCTGAGATACGAGCGACGTCGCGACTGTCGTTAAAAAGAGAAAATTATTTTCTTTCTATACCAAATGAATTTCGACGGTACCACAAGTCGAGCCAAAAGTCATTGTATCAGCTAATCGAACTGTTATTCGTATAAACGTCAGATCATGGGTTTATCAAATTATATAATACATTAATTCCATATCTCCTTTTCCAGAAATATCTTATTGTTTACCGAATGTCTCATTACATCGCTATTTCACGGGAGAAATCATCGATCTCGTGTACATCCGCAATTTGGTTTGAAAGTTATCCGTCCGTGTTTCAATAGCATCCAACTGATGCTTTAACGTGATTTGACTAATTATAATCTCGCCTGGCATTACAATTCCGTTATCTTTAGTGAACTCCAAATCGATCGAATCTAAGATTACTAACATTATTTGCGATAGCCTCTTAGCTTATTTATATCTCCTATTTATCTCAGGTTCGTGAAAATTTTCGCTACCGTCTTTCTATCTCTAGCATACAAACTCTTCCGTTATGTATTATATTCACACATGTAGAACAACTGTCTCTGTTACTATGTCTCTATTCTTATTAGAGTTCCTATTATCTTTGTATTTGAATAAGCCACAAAGAAAAGTAAACGAGAAAACTAACACAAATAAAAATAAGAAAAATATTTTTTAATCAAGTTATATATACCTAATGATTTACGTAATAATAACTTAAACAGTTAGCTAACATGTATTATCTACTTTGTTAAAATAAGCCATATGTTAAAATGAGTCAGGATAGGCAAAACACAATAGCACAAATTGGAGGTCACACTAATAGAGATGCAAACACTTGTCTTATTTTTATCAAGAACAATTAAAAATGTTATTTAAAAACAATTAATTTTTAAACGTAATAAAATACCATCATTATAATAATAAGAGAAACAGTAAACCTCAAGGACAGCTGAAAAAGGCGCATGCGGCCGTCGTGATCATGCTTGTCAACGTCGCGATACGCTTTTATCCGAGATTCTAGCAAAGTTGGAGCTCTGAAATCCTAAACGTGCGCGGGGACAGCGATAATTATCGAGAGTAGGACGCCTCTCTCTTTTTCTCTCTCTCTCTTTCTCGCTCTCGCTCTCTTTCTCCGCACTACGGTCGCGCGGTGAAAAACGAGCCGGTATACGTGACGAAATGCGGTCGGTCCTCGCGCGTGTATCGCCGACGAGGCCGCGGGATATCGGGGCGCGTACAGGTATATACACACTTGTCGCTTATTCACGTTCGTGCGAGCGCGACGGTTACTCGCGGTAAATTTACCCGCGAATTATCGCGAGAGTGAGTCTCCTTACCGCGCCTCGCTCCTTGCCACGGTTCGCTTTACCTCGCCTCGCCTCGCTGTGCCGCACCTTCCTTGCACGCCGCATCCGCCTCGAATGCTACTACCGATTTTAGGCAATGCGCTCATAAATTTGACCTTCCCTCGAGAAAAGGAAGGATTTGCTGGATCCGACATCCTCTGACCTCTCTCTCTCTCTCTCTCTCTCTCCCTCCCTCCCTTTCCCCCTCTTTGTTCCTTGAGCTTTCATATTCCGCACAAAAAATCGGGAAACCTCGGCAACTGTTATAAACATTACAAAATTTTCTTATGTAAAATACAAGAGCGACTAATTTCGTGCTAAATGGACACGTGTTTCTCATTCTGTCCGCATACAGCATGCGGCTCGCTTCAACAAAAAATTTCAAAATATATATTATTTAAAACATTAAATTGATTCATCTGTCTAGATATTATGTAAATGTAATCGAGGGTATACCCGACATCGGGCACGAATTATTTGTTGCGTTAAACGATTATTAAATATTGTTAATAACAAAAGGAGTACAATTTAGAGAGTCGAATCGAAAGAGATCTCTTTTTTCTTTTTTTTTTTTAATACCCCACTCTTCAAAGGTCCAGAAAAGATCCGTGTATGACATATACCCACCTACTATTTCCAAGTCTATACGGAAATTCACGAATCGCAGAGCCGAATGAGTATTCTGTATAGGTCGGTTCTACTAATCGCGACATCGTTGTCGATGGGTCAAATGACAGAGCTAGAAAAGAGCCGTGCGACGAAGGGCATGGGAAGGAAATAGCGGGCAATTCGCTAACGCGAAGGATGGTAGGGCAGCTCGCGGGGTAGTTCGTCTCCCCTGTCGACGTCGTTGCTGTCGAGTAGGGAGTGGGAGAGATGCGCGCAAAATACATCCTGGCGTGGCGCGCAGATGGAGGGGCATCGAGTGACCAGTCGAGTCGACTGCTTGGATGTAGTCACGTCAGTCGTCTGTGTTTCGTTGCGCTTATAACTACATGAGCAGTCGAGTTACGCGGTAGAAGTATTCATTTCACCCGATTCGTCTATCTCGCTCACGCTTCGGCTACCACCCCAACCACGCTATTCCTCGTGGTACAGCAATAACATCGTTTCCCGCGCGCACTTCGGATTGGCTGTTGCAGTCGCAACCGGAGAAGCGGAGAAGCAGTACACCGGGGAGTACCAACACGCTCCGTTTTATTCGCGCTAGCGCCGTCAACAAGAGCGGAGTAAAGGGAGAGCAGTGGAGCGGCAAGGTGTAGAGAGCAGCGGCAGTGCCTTGCTTCGACGGAGGGCAGCAGTGTGTAGGAGGGGGAAGAAGAGAGAGAGAGAGAGAGAGAGAGAGAGAAAGAGAGAGAGAGAGAGAGAGAGAGAGAGAGAGAGGTGGTTGTAGCCGCCCGACCGACCGACCGACCGAGTTGTTTCATTCATAAAAAAGTTCTTTATTACTCTCTGTGAGCGCATGTGCTATTCCACCACGGAGGAGGAACGAGTACTACTACTCCCCCGACCGGCTGCGACGGCGTAACCGCGTTTACACACAGTATTATTTACTACTGTACGAGATACGAATCGGCGCCACACGCCGTACTGGCAGCGCGGCGTACGGGTCGTTCCGTCTCCGTGTCTGCGTACAGAAATTAGTTTTGTCAGTAAAATTAAACGAACGTTTGACGTTTTTTCAAACTCAGTGTTAAGTGTTAAGCATTCCAAGAAGAGACTTGGTTAGTGCTCCGAAAGTTAATCGAATTGGCGAGGATTTCAGCAAGTGTCCGGTTCGTATCAACATGGACCAAGAATCCGCTGTAGATTTGTCTCCAGATTCGGGAGGGTCTACGAACAGAATAAAAGATCGGAGACCGACACGGCGTCAGGACTCAATTAGTTACCGTCAGGCAATGAACTTTTCAAGATGCTTAAATGTTACTAGTGATCCTGGACCATCCAGACAAGGTGCGTTACCACGGAATGAATCAAGACAAGCTGGTAAGCGACCATTAAGAGCTCTTACACCTCAAGAAAAAATAGATGCTATTAATCGTGTGCATAATGGCGAATCTAAAGCCGCTGTCGCACGCGATATCGGCGTACCCGAATCGACCCTGCGCGGTTGGTGTAAGGCTGAGCAAAAGATTTTAACACAATTGAATAACATGAAGGCGTCGGGAACATCACTGTCAGGAACACCACTGGCAGGTTATGAACACATTCTGACGTCAAGTTCAGATAACAGTAACAATAGTGGAGCATGTTCTTCGTCGCGATCAACCCCAACCGCTCAAGCTACGATATTAGGATTAGGATCAGCTACCAACCTTACAGAGAAAGTTGAGGAGTTTGAAACCGGTCCGCCCCATAAACGACTGAAAATTGACAATACATCAGCTAACATCTCAACATCAGCTCGAGCGATGACATCGAGTGACCCCATATTCCACCCATACCTATATAATATGATGTCGGCTGATCCGAACAGTACTTTAGCTATGTTAAGCACATTATTGAAACCAGAAACACTCCTTTCTTTTTCTGGATACGCGCCTGCTGCAACTCTTCTTACGGATAGTCTGCTGACCAGGAACAACGGCACAGTGACCAATATGGCATTAACAAACATGAGGCAACAACAACATCTACAACAACAGCAGCAGCAACAACAACATCAATCGCAACAGCAAATCAACGCTACAACAAATACGCTACTTAACGAAAATAAAAAAAAGTCTAGCGTACAAGGTCATTCAACATTCCAAAAATCGTTGAGGACGGAGTGTAATCGATCACCGAACGTGGAAAAGTCGTCCGGAAGCTCGATCTCTCAACCGAACAATCAAATCATGGACAATCAAATGCCATCAACATCAACGAACAGCAGTGAGGCAGTCGTAAGCGTACCCCAATGTAGAACTGTAAGAAACGGTAGAACTCTTAATAGTATAGTAGATAGTCTTACACCTTCACATCTTAAATCATCTTCTACGAATAAAGTAGACTCGCTATGTGATGCTGTAAATAATAATGATGCTGTAAATAATAATGATAAGGATGACATAGATAATGAGACCGCGAGAGAAAATTATCCTCCTGTGCCACCGGAGTGTAATGACATGGTGGAGCATTGCGCCAAATTGTTGAAATGGTTGAGCAATCATGGTCAACCTGTTTGTACGTATAAACAGTTGAATAATATGCAGAGTCTTTTATCACGGCTAAAAGATTGGGTTGAGAAAAGTACAAAGAGAGAATCCCTCCGAAAAATCAACGGTACGAGCTAGCAAGTATGTATTTAATACATATTTGTATGTATATGTATATATAATGTACATAAATTATGTAAATATCTATGTATTATACCTTAGGTACATTGAGACAAACGTCTGGTAATATTTACTGAATTTTGATCGTATTGACTCAATATTTAGTAAGTATTACCAAACATGATAATAGGAATCAGTTGTTTTATAGTAATAATTACTATGTATTTAGAAAAATAAAATTATCGTTCATTTGCTCCATCTAAATGATTTAACTCTTAAAAAACCAAATTGTTGATTTAAATGAATATTTAATTAATTAGATTTCGCTCGTGTTTTTTGCAGTATAAAGACAAACAATCTAAATCGAGGGGTAATAAGGTATTTTAATTAATAAATTTATAATTTGCAATATTACTCTAAGGAACATAAAATAAAAATATAAAAAATATATAAAGTATAAAAATATCGAACGTTTCGGAATTCATAGGTCTTTCATAGCGATTCATGAAGATATTTTGATGTCAACGAGTACGGTATTGTACTGGTATGATAATTTGTTTGAAGAGAAATGATGCTCTTGTTTTCATACATTTTATACAATTTTCACATTCACATAAAAAAACAAGAGATCATTTCTCTATAAACAAATTGTCACACCAGTACAATATTACACCATATTGCTTTGACTGTAAGATAGTATGTTTATCTCGTTGACATCGAAATATCTTCATGAATCGCTATGAAAGACCTATGAATTCCGAAACGTTCGATATTTTTATACTTTACATATTTTTTATATTTTTATTTTATGTTCTTTAGTAATATTGTGTTAATTAGAAATTTATTAATTAAAAAATCTTATTACCGCTCGATTTAGACCGTTTTTCTTTATACTTTGAATATTTAATTGTTAGTAATTATTTGTAAATATGTAATTGTATGTATATATGTAACTATTGTAAAATTTTACGAAAAAAGATTTATTAATTAATTTAATAACAGTCATTAGATTATTTGGTGCAAATGAGCGTTTAAAAAGCGTGGATATAGATATGTGGTATAGTCAGAACTGCCGCTAAATGGTCGTTTCTAGCATATAAAATTTAGTCGAGCTTTCTGTATAATCAAGTCTATATGACCGAAGCTCAGTTGTAATAATATAGAAAATTTTATGTCATCCATATATAATTGCCAACAATATGTCTTGTTTTAAGCATAGTTACCAAATTGTTGACAAAGACTTAATAATTGTTAAATCGTACAGTAATTATGACCAAACGATTTGATAATGTTTATTAAATCAAATAACTCTTGAAATACAAACTTTTTATGACAGATTAATTTAGAAATATTTGCCATACTATTTGATTACTGTGTAATTTAGCTATATTTGCCAATTCGTTTAGTTATACTTATCATACAATTTAGTTATAATCATTATCTAGGATAGAGAGAGAGAGAGAGAGAGTGAGGCTGTGCCATGACTTAGTTAGATTTAACTTTAAGGTAATAATACTAAAGTTTACGATAGTAAACAATATCTTTTTGCAGTGAGATGCTTATAATTACGACTAAAGTTTAATATTAAGAACACAATTTATAAATAATCATGTGCTGCTTAAAAATTATTTATGAAAAATAGATCGAAAAGCTCCGCTCTATCCTAGCTTTATTACCAAACTTAAATCTTGGATAACAATTCAGTAATAGTTACCAAATTGTTTGGTTTTATATTTGTATATAGTGTACATTTGAAGTGATCCTGTAATTGTAAGTGTTTCACCAAAGCATTTACTATTACACTCGGCTAAGTTAGGGTTAGATTACATTAGTGTTCCTACAATAGCAATTAAGACGATGAATGCGTTCGTTTTTTACGCTGTAAGCTTTATTCTATCTTTTTTTTTTTGCAAATACCAAGCAATAACGATAGGATGAAGCACAGCGTGTGAGCGTGAAAGAGAAAAAATTATCATTTTTTTCTTATAAGTAATTTTAACATAATTTTTTTTGTTTAGTATACATAATACGTTAGAGTAATTTTTTCTCATTCCTTTTTTGGGTGTTTAAAATAAAAAAAAATTTGACAAGTCGCATAGCAAACGCGATGCTCACAAATATCATAAGACTAAAAATTATCATTTTTTTCATATAATCAAATAATAAAATTTTTTTTTTTTAGTATAGATGTATTAGAATAATTTTTTCTCATTACTTTTTTGCATGTTTAAAATCAAAATAAATTTGACAAGTCGCATAGCAAACGCGATGCTCACAAATATCATAAGACTAAAAATTATCATTTTTTTCATATAATCAAATGACAAAATTTTTTTTTTTAGTATAAATGTATTAGAATAATTTTTTCTCATTACTTTTTTGCATGTTTAAAATCAAAATAAATTTGACAAGTCGCATAGCAAACGCGATGCTCACAAATATCATAAGACTAAAAATTATCATTTTTTTCATATAATCAAATAACAAAATTTTTTTTTTAGTATAGATATATTAGAATAATTTTTTTTCATTACTTTTTTGGGTGTTTAAGATCAAAAAAAATTTGACAAGTCGCGTAGCAAACGCGATGCTCACAAATATCATAAGACTAAAAATTATCATTTTTTTCATATAATCAAATGATAAAATTTTTCTTTTAGTATAGATATATTAGAATAATTTTTTCTCATTACTTTTTTGGGGTTAAAAATTATAATAAATTTGACATGTCGCGTAGCAAACGCGATGCTTACAAATATCATAACAGTAGTTACTTTTTCTTTCCATTTTCTACCTCTTAAAATAGTATACACATATACACTGAAAAAAAGTCTAGTAATAGCTACTGAATATTTATGATAATACTAAATATTTGTAAAAGTAACATTATTTTTTATGTTAACCAAACATTTGACATTATTCCACCATACATTTAATAGCTATTACTAGACTTTTTTTCAGTGTAGGATAGTTTAAGATTTATATTTAAGATAATTTCGTAATATAAATTATTAAAAGTATTTTTGAAGAACAGACTTTTAAAATGCGTCCAAAATTCGTAATTAATGGTTAATTGTAGTGTTTAGAATTAATTAAACTATTCTGTTAGACAAGTGTCATAATTTAAAAAAAAAATAAGTTTTATCTTTATATAAAATTGAAAAAATAAAAAAAATAAATCATAAAATTTTATTAATTCTTTAAAAATAACTTTAAAAAGAATGATATTTTGGACAAAATACATTTTGAAAGTCTGCTCTTCATTCATTAGTATAAAAATTGATTCGGAATGCGCGCGACACAATGTCGAAAAAAGAAAATCTTAGATCATTTTTTCTTTACTTACCATATTGAAAGATTTGTCTAATGGCTGATACTCGATATGGTCACTGATGAATAGTATACATTCGCGCCATGTATACAATTCCGAATACGGCAGCGTACTTCGTTTGAGACTCGTTGATACAAATTTCTTTGAAAAGAAAAACATTAATTCTATCAGCGTTTTTCGTCGCGGTATTCTGAATGCGATATATCTATTGCGTTTTTTTTTGTATTATTAGATATAAATGTAAAAATTAATTTGTAAGTAGAAATAATAAAAAAAAACTATAAAAAAATAAGTATAAAGTTTGTTTTTATTTTAATCCTTATATAAAAGTACCTAATCCTTATTTTTAAGAATATTATTTTTAATCAAATTGTGTGGAGCAAAATCTTAGGTTAGATATCATCAAGATAAAAAATTACTCTCTTATTTATGTCGTTTAAAAATTTATATATATATATATATATTCTTAATGTATTTGATATAAACATATATTCAAATTCCTTAATTATTTTTTGTATTTTCACAGACTATAAGAACTATACATAGAATTTTACCATAAATGCTGATAGGAATTATTAATCTAAACGCACATTAACGACATTGATAATTTTTTTTAACATTACATATTTTCACATGTTTTAACTATGCAATAGTCTAATCAGCTGATCGCAAGATCAGCTGATATTACAAACAGCTGACTTTGATCAGCTGATTTTACTAGGCATACTTATAATAATCTCTCTCTTATATATTGCGAATTACAAAAGATCAACTTTTAATAAGTATGATATATTTTTTTTCTTAATCCCGATCCCATATAGCACATGATATTCTGAAGATGTTTTGGTTATTGCTGTCAAGCAAGAAATAAATGGTAATAAGAATATCTTGAGTACATATTTTGACATACATTTTCAGAATATCCCAAAAATATTCTCAGAATATAATGTACTATTTGAGATATTGTGACTTGAAAAAAGAAGAGACATAATTTTGTTGAATATAAAATTCATGTAGTAATTAAGAAAAACGACAAGGCTCTTTTCTTTCTCTTTCTGTATACTAATGTTTATTGTATTAACGTACAGCAAGAATTCGTGATGTGATAATCAATCAAGAATCATAACTTTTTCGAGATCAAATTTTACTCACTTGTACACGACATTCATTTTCGCAGGCTAACAGCATCGGTCGGCGATTCGCGTACTTCGCATGGAACTGCCGTCGAAAGTTTTCCGCGTACCACAATAGCAATCGCTCCTTGTCACTGACGTAACGGTAGGTATTCGGAAGTGATCGTACGTAGAGGTCCTCCGTCATTATCGAGACATCCGGCCAACACAACTTGATCAGGCACAATTCTCGTTGTACTTGCTGCAGGATCTCCTCGACAGTACTTGAGGATTTCTCTATGTCGTGCTCGTCCTCCGGGCGTTTATCCAGCGACGACGAATGTAAATCGTCGAAATCGAGTCGATTCTTAGCCGCGACATTTGTCATGATGTCATTCATTGTGCTGATAATCTGATTATCCGACGTGGACTCTAAAAACATGCGTTTGAGCCGATTGACCGCGAATGTTTATTAGCGTGATTACGAAACCGCGATTCGAATTCGCATCGACATGCAAACAAGTCGTGGTCGCTATGGCAACATGATACGGCGGTTTATTACACCCCGGTTAGAG